AGGCAGGACATGCTCTTGGTTTGCTTAGCGAGGAGCCTGGGCCCCCACACCTCACTCTGAAGGGCTTGAATCGTTCAGTGGGGGCTGGAAAGTGTTTGGTGAGTTACCTTCCTTGTGACTTAGTTTCCTTTATCAGTGAAATGGGAAGAGTAATAGTACCTCCCTCGCAGCCTTGACTAGGAATTAAATTAAATGAGTGTGTATACGTAATGTGGCTTGACACATGAACGCTACGAGGTGTTAACCATTACTGTTATTGTTGCTCTGGCCATTCTGGGGTATGTTTAGGCCAGAACGGAGACCCTGGGTGTCCAGTCTGGTGGGTGCAGCAGCAGGGAATTCTGGGTAGTGTGCTGGTTTTATCCCTGAGGAAGAGGGACCCAGGCAGTAGCTGCAGGTGCAGGGGGGAGCCCAGCCCCTGAGGGGCTGGGGCTGGCAAGAGCCGGATAGACAGGCAGCGTCCCTGACACACTGCTCAAGGTCTGGAGTGGGCTCCCGTTCCAGCATCTATCTGGAATAATACGAATTGTAATAAATAAAACTAACTGAGCGCTGCTCTGAGCCAGGCCCTAGGAGAGAGCTACTGTTGTCATTACCACTTTACAGATGGTGATGTGGAGGCAGAGAGAGCAGATGGGGTGGAAGGAATAAAGACGGGAGCCTCTCCATGCCCAGGTGCCGAGCGCCCGGTAGTCAGGGAGAAGGTGCGGCGTGGTTTGTGGACATGCGGGTCTGGCGGCTCAGGCTGGCCAGACCGGGCCCCGTCCTGGGGCAGCAACACCCACTCGCTGCTCGGGCAGACACCGCTGTCTACCACCGCCTGGGCCTGGATGCCTGGGGAGGGGCAGCCAGGGTCTGACTGGGGAATGGCTGGCTGTGAGCAGGGGGATCACCTGTGACCACCTGCTGGCAGAAGCTCCCCGCCACAGAGGGATAAGCCTCGACTCCGACGCCCTTGACCCGAACGCAGAGATTGGCGCCCAGGAGGCACAGGTGAACGGCTGGCTCGGGAAGCTTTCGTTCAGGCTCTCAAACACTCATATTATTTCTGTGAGAAGGAGAGGAACTCTTCCTCTTTGAAAACTGTCATCATCAGAATATCTTTAAAAGCCTTCAATATTCCTTTTTATGCCATTTGCATGAAATGAGGTTTTAAAATACAATCTGCTTTAAAATGCACTTTGCAGATGAGTTAATGTGCATTTTTTTTTAGTGGCGCCTTGAATTCCCGCTGATGCAGTTTCCAGTGGTCTCAAGGCTGGCACTTCCCCCAGGCTGGAAATACCTCGAATGAATTGCTTTGCACGCAGACAGGAGAGCGATCTGCTCGTTAGGTGAGCTGTGAGCAGCCTGTCCTTTCTTCCTGCTGGATTGACAGGGACCAAGGCTGATTTTTTTTAAATCAAAGAGAGGCTACCAGACTGAAGATATAAATAGACTGTGATAATGACCCTACTCTGAAGAAAGACCAGTAACCACTTTTTTTTTAATCGTCACCCAAGAACATACTTCTTATTGGGTGAGGGGAGAGAGAGAGCGGCATTGATCGGTTGCCTCCCATACTTCCCCAACCTCGGATCGAATCCACAACCTTTTGGTGTACGGGATGATGCTCCAACCAACTGAGCCATCCGTCCAGGGCAGTTACCACTGTTTTAGGTAAAAGCAAATAGGATGAAAAATTGGATTGTTCTCTGCCATGTAGACATTTCTGTTACCCCGCATTTGGAGGCATCCAGCCAGGAGGGCAGGCTGAGCATTGCAGAGGAAGTCCCTTGTGGCCCACTGGAGGCACGGAATTGTGCCTTCTTAAACCCGGTGGGAAGTTTTGCCCTGAGGCGTGTCAGATCTAGAAGACTCCCACACTCCCTCTTGTCTTCCGTTGGTCCAGTGGTGTAAGGCTGAAATGGAATCCACTTCATAGCTTAGAGCTTGCTTATGCATTTTGCCATCTTTGTGCTTTAAACTTTTGTGCATCCCTAAACAGCAGGCAGTCAGGCGAGGCCACAGAACCAGGCTACCTGGGCAGGACTTTGATTTTGGGGTCTGTATCATCCACGGGTATTGAGTCTACTCTGAGTGGTTTGTCTATCTATGAATAACCCGGGCATCCCTGTGACACTGACGTCTGGCTCTGAATCGTGCGTGTCGTAATTGTGCCCTGTGTCTGGTGGTCTGGGACGCCACGAGGGAAGAAGGTGAAGGTGAAGAATGTGCAGTGCACATCGTGACCAGGGATTAACTACCAGTCGTCCAATGCTTTCTATGTGCCAGGCTTTTGTTTATTATATTAATCACCGCAACATTTCCCCCCCCTTTGATGTATGCGGAGACCAAGCCTCAGAGAGGGTAAGCAACTTGCTCAGGATCACCAGCTGTGTGCTTTGTGCTAGAATCGGATCCCGTGTTCTTAACGATGACCCTGTACCACCTGCTCAGCCAGAGACTGTGTTTACGCTGCCTGGTTTCTTAAGCTCAGATGGCACACCCGCACCTGATTTTCCCTTGTCCTCAGGCTCCACCTCTCACTTTGCCTTTCTCTTATCAGCCCTGGGCCCCTTCCTGACTTGGCCCTACTCTCACCAGCCTTAGACGTGAGGGGGTGATGGATGAAGACGGGCAGGGTGGCACTGAACCCCAAGGGACCCCAGAGTCCCAGGTTTTGGCAGGGTGGTTGCTGGTGTGAAGGTCTGTAGAACTCGGCTCGGCTCTTGGTTCTAGGCTGGCTGGTCGACCCCATCCTGTTCTTACCCTGGGACAGGCTTCAGGCTCAGCCATGACTTTTTAACCCAAGAACATGGAGTGTTCCCAAGGCAAACGACACCAGCCCTCTCTTCGTAGATACAGCAGTGATGCTTGAGGCAGTGCATTAAAACCACTGTCTTGGGACTGTTTGAAAGATGGAGGTGTAGTCTGATGACTTCTTCTGTTTCCCCCATAGATGCGGCAGCCAGAGCAGTGCCCACTGAGGCTCAGCCTGCCCGTCCTGGCCCGGGGGCTGGGCCGCCTCTTCGTCTGCTGGTGCTTGGCCGAGCTGATGGTGCACCTCATGTACATGCACGCCTTCTACGGCAGCGCCCCACTCCTGGGGGCCGTCTCCTGCTGGACGCTAGGTAATCAGGGAAATCACTGTCGGAACGAGCGGCAGGAGCTGGCTTAGAGGGAAGCTGGACGGGGTCGGGGAGGGGGGCACACGGGAGTGCAGTTGTCTTGGGCAAACCCTTTTCAAAAAAATTTATATTTGTATTGATTTCAGAGCAGAAGGGAGAGGGAGAGAGAGAAACATCAATGATGAGAGAGAATCATTGATCGGCTGCCTCCTGCACGTCCCCCAATGGAGATTGAGCCCGCAACCTGGGCATGTGCCCTGACCGGGAATCGACCCATGATCTCCTGTTTCATAGGTCGATGCTCAACCACTGAGCCATGCCAGTCGGGCGTGGCCCCTTTTTCTTGCCTACCCATTTCTTTATATCTGCAAGTAGCGGGGACCGGAGTCATTTCCTCAGCAGGACCGTCTCCAGGGTAGGACTGGTCTGCGGAGAAACCACAGCTCTTTATTCTACAGGTTATAAAAGCACGGGCCGCGCCCCGTTCTGAGCTAAATCTCCTCCTTTCCCTGTTGCTCTCCTCTGGAGAACGCCCCGTGGTCACTGCCTTCACCCTGTGGTCTGACCTCCAGCCCCTCGCTCCAGTGGGGAATGTGTGATCTTCCGGCCAGATTAAGCCGCTCCCTGCCAGGGCCAGAGTACAAGCCTGACTCTTAATCTGTTTGGAGATTTACAGATTAAAAAAACAACCCCATTGTCCTTGGAGTCACACGTGCTTACTCAGAGCGTTTTCAAGGAAGAGGCCTTTTCAGGTTGGAAAAAACACAGAGCTGTTATGATGACAGTTTCTTCTTTCCAAACAAATCTTTCCTCCAGTTGGAGTAATTAATGTGCTAAGCTTTTAATGGTGCGATTAGACAACACAGAATAGGATCAAATGATGGTTTATACTAAATCGAACCCCAGTTGTAGTGTGTTCAATTTAAGAGGCCGTATCAGTTGGGGTGATTTTAATTATGAGTAACGAAGACACAACTCAAAGCGAGGCTAAAGAGTAAAGCAAAGCTGTGATCTCAACAGCCATTACCTCTGAGGCCAGCATGGGGCGGTCCATCCCGGGACTGGGCGACTCACCAGTGATTCGTTTGTGTATCTGTCATTCAGATGAAGAACTCACCGGAGTCCTAGAAGCCCCTTGCTAGTACCTGCAATCCCATCACCTTCTCTCACCTCTCCTCAAATACATGTTCATGATTCCCTTTTTAAAAACCTTTTTCTGGAAAAAAAAAAAGACTTTATTTTTAGAGCAGTTTTAGGTTTACAGCAATATTCAGAGGGAAGTACAAAGATTTCCCGTATGTCCCCCCAACCCCCACAACCCACACCCCATTTCCCCACAGATTCTGTCCTTAGCAACACCCCACCAGAGCGGTACATTTGTTACAGCTGATGAACCTACTCTGACACATCATCGTCACCCAGAGTCCATAGTTCATGTTAGGATTTATGCGAGTGTTGTGGTCTGTTTGACAGATGTATGATGACACGCTTCTACTGTTTATACACAGAACAGTTTCACAGCCTCAAAAAATCCTTTGCACTCTCTCTTCCTCCCTCAACCCTGTTCATTTCTGATCTTTTTACCATCTCCATCACCTGACCTTTTCTAGAACGTCATACAGTTGGAATCATATGTAGCATATGTAGCTTTTTCAGAATGAGTTCTTTCATTTGATAATATGGATGTAAGGTTTATCTATGTCTTTTCATGACTTTATAGCTCCTTTATTTTCAGTGCTGAATATGATTCCATGGTCTATGTGCAACACGGGTTATTTATCCATTCACCCACTGAAGGGCATCTTAGTTGATTCTAAGTTTAGTGATTATGAATAATGATGCTATAGGCATCTGTGTGCAGGTTCTGTGTGGACATGAAGTTTTCAGTTCCTTTGAGTAAATTCCAAGGAGTGCAATTTTGGGATTGTATGGTGAGAGAATGCTTATTTTTGTACGGGACTGCCAACTGCTTTTCCAAAGTGGCTGTTCCATTTTGTATTTCCACCAGCAGTGAATGAGTTCCTGTCGCTGCACGTCCTTGCCAGCATTTGGTGGTGTCAGTCTTTTGGATTTAGGCTATTCTGATAGGTGTGTAGTAGTATCTTGTTTTAGTTTGCAATTCCCTATTCACATAGGATATGTGGAGCATCTTATCATGTGCTTATTTTCAGTGGTTGCCCTAAAGTTTGCCATATATTTACAACTAACCCAAGTCCACTTTCAGATAGCACTGTACCACTTCATGGTAGTACAAGTACCTTGAAACGATTTATTCCTAAAGCCTTTTTATAACAAAATATTCCTTATTCCTTCTGTCACTTTTATGATCATTGTCATTCATTTCACTTATATATAAACTGTAATAATCAATACATTGTTTTTTTAATTTTTAAAAGGTTGTTATTAGTTAGATCAATTACAAATAAGAATAAGTTTTTATTTTACCTTTACTTATCCATTTTCTGATGCTCTTGCTTTTTAAAAAAAATGTTGATTAGAGTTTCTGATCTATATTATTTTCCTTCTCTCTGAAGACTTTGTTTAAAAATTTATTGCAAGGCAGGTCTATTAGAAACAAATTCCACCATTTTTGTTTGACGACATATTTTTTGTTCACTTCTGAAGGATATTTTCACCGTCTACAGAATTCTAGGTTGGTATTTTTTTCTTTAAGCACTATAAACATTTCACTCTACTCTCTTCTTGCTTGCATAGTTTTTGAGGAAAAGTTATATGTCATTCTTATCTCTCTTAACCTACAGATTAGATGTTTTTTCTTCCTCTGCCTTCTTTCAGTATTTTTCCCCCTTTATCTTTGATTTTCTGCTGTTTGAGTATAATATACTAGGGGTAGTTTTGGGGGCATTTATTCTGCTTGGTGTTCTCTGAGCTTCCTGGATCTTTGGCTTTTGTGTGGGACATTAATTTGGGGAAATTTTTAGTCATTATTGTGTTAAATATTGCTTCCCATCCTTTCTCTACTTCTTCTGCTTCTGGTATTTGCATTCAGCTATGCTCATTGCCAGCTATGGCTGGAGGTCTAATTCTTCAGATAGACACCACAGACAGCACTCAAGGATTTTCCCTCAGCAGCAAATACGCCTGTGCACATATCTGTCAGATGTCGATGCCTCTGAGGCCAGAGCAAAACGCAAAGATTAGGGTGCCTTGTTCTGTAAAAAGTGACTATGCAGCTGGGAGGACAGGCAGATAGAACCACTCAAACCAACAGGTCCCTCAATCCGTGACCACGATCACTTCTAGCTGTTGGAGTGATCCATCGTCTTCAGATTCTCAGCCATTCTCTCTACCAAGAGTCTTGTATGGATAAAGCCTGGGCTGGGGCTCATGTCCACAAGGGAAAGTGATTAGTCAAGGTGTGTTAACATTTCTTACCATGGCGCTATTTGATTTGTGTGAAGTGAGACCTCATTTTTGGATATTTTTGGATAGTTAGAACTCCACCAAGAAAATGTACTTGGCCTTCAGAAACATGTATGATGAACTATTTCCTTCCAACGTTTCTAGTAGGAATTCAGGCTTACTCTATGTCATAACAAATAAAAAAAAATTAAGGCACAGGCTCTGATTATGCGAACAAATCCCTTTTCTTTTCTACAAACAGGACCTTAAGTGCCATTTGCTTTGTACCCATAATCCTCGATTCCATCTCCAGCCACATTAGTGTAAGCTCTGTTGCAAATATTATGAACCATGGAATCTTGGGGATGGAAACTAGAAACCTCAGAGAGCACTCAGTTCAAGTTCCTCTTCTTACCTCATCCAGTGGTAGCTCCCGGGCTGTTTGCTGGAAGCATGGGCCAGAAGCATGGGCTGGACTGATGGAGCCAGTGCTCCAAATGGTTGCCCAAGGCAGGGGAATAGGGGCTAGAGTTTGAAAGTTCAATGAGATTTGAGGTGGATAACCAGGGTCATGAGAATTGGAGACCGTTCTGAATTGCTGGGACAGAATTCTGCAGGTGAAGATTCGGTTTAGAAGTAATACTGAATAAGCCAGATGATAAATTTAAACCTAGGGTGATAGGACAGATTAAAAAATGATCAGAGTGAGACTACATGGAAATTATAAGTACGCAGGCTTCCCCAGACTTCTGCCTGTAGGGAGTTGGAGGGATTCCAGGGCTGATCAAGGACAAAGACATGAGCACGAGGTGGCAGTCACACGCACAAGCTTTATTTGGGGGGGTGCTCTGAGGGGTCTGCATTCGGGGGAAGTCCCTCACAATAGAGAAGCTACATTGTGGGGCCCAAACTCAGAAGGGGAGGGGAGAGAGGCACTCTCTGGGGCAGTGGGATCAGAGAGGAGGGGGATGCATAGGCGACGTCCCTGGTCAGTGTGGTCAGGAGACTCTGGGTCACAGAGCGAAGGGCAGCATTGTTTTGGGATCTCTATAGCCCCGAGGTTTGTCTGATCTGTTACTAGCAGATGTTGGGCAGTTTCACAGGGTCTACAAAGGAGGCGGGCTGTAGGTGGCAAAAAGTCTGCTTTATTGGGGCTATATTCAAAACAGTTTTATGTGTAAGAGTTTGAGTTTGGCACTGGCAGGCTTTTAAACTAATGGGTCTCAACCTGAAGTGCAGAAATAAACAACCTAGGAGCCAACACGCTGCCTCCTCTCAGCACGGTGCCCATCAGGCATTGGCTTCTGGACAGATCCAGCTGAGGAGACACACAGAAATCAGGTCACAACCCAGCCCTGGGTCAGAGAGCCCGGCCAGTCTAGTGGCCAAGTGGGAGGCCCAGACAGACAACAGCAGTTAAGGGACTGCACTCTGCTCATTCAGGAATGAGCTGATTGATTTAAACGAGCTGGTTTGGTTTCCATGACAAGGACGCGTAGGCAAACAAGGCAAGTCCAGCCTCTGTCCTTGCAGAATGCGTGGTCTAGATCAGTGATGGCGAACCTATGACACACGTGTCAGAGGTGACACGCGAACTCATTTTTTTGGTTGATTTTTCTTTGTTAAATGGCATTTAAATA